GAGTTGCATTGCAGTGGGGTTCATTCTCATAACATCATTCTCGTTGAAAGCAGGGGAGGATGTGTTGAATAAAATCGGTTCTTTTTCTAAAAGACGGCCAAATTTGCCGAAAAGAACTCCGAATTGTTCAAAAGCGCCGAAAAGCATTGAAAGCGGGCAAAAGCGCCACGCGCCAGCCACAAGCTCCTGAAAAATCACTGATATCCAGGGCTTGGCACGAGGCGGCTAGTTGAAAATGCAAAAAAAACGAAGTCCCCCTTGACTTCGCCACAAAAGTACGATATCCCCCTTGACACGCTAACGAACAAATCAAACATGAAAACAAAAAGAATGAAATAGAATAAAAAAACCGACAATAAATAGGGAATAAGAACTAGTGATTGTTTGTATTCTCCGGGTTGGCGGCATGCTGTGTCCGCCGCGCACCACCGCGAGCTTGAAGCACCTTTGCCACTGTCATCCAGATAATTTGGAGGGCTATAACTAGGCGGGAAGGAGAGGGTTTGGGGAGGTACAAGAGCTGTTTTGTAGAATATTGGATTTAGATTACTTTTATGTAAAAAATTTGAAATAATTATGTGAAGAATAGGAGTTACTAGCTGGCATACCCGGCTCCGCCGTATGTTCCAAATAGAATATTCCATTTCTTAACCGATCCGAACCAAACTTGGCACACATATACTTCGGGCCCCGGCGGGTGTCACAGTCCACTTTTCGTTATCGATTGATGTCGATTTTATCGATTTTTTGCAACATTTGAGCTAGGGGGCTGGGATTTGGCACAGGGGGGTAATCGAGCATGCTGATTACGAATACAATATTAGTTTTCGAAATCGTGCATTACTTTTATCGATTTTTTTGCAAAATTTGAGCTACGGGGCTGGGATTTGGCACAAGGGGGTAATCGAGCATGCTGATCACCCCCGTGGGGGATTACACCCCTCTGCCAAATTCCAGCCCCCTAGCTCAAATTTTGCAAAAAATCGGTAACATCGACATCGATCGATAACAAAAAGTGGACTGTGACACCCGCCGGGGCCCGAAGTGTATGTGTGCCAAGTTTGGTCCGGATCGGTTAAGAAATGGAATTTTCTATTCGGAACATACGTACAGACAGACAGACATACAGACAGACAGACAGAAGACAAACAGACATTCAGCTTTATATATAAGATATGACTTTTTTGCGCTAAGCCACCTCAGGTGGCTATCAAGGTGACTTGAAAGCCACCTAACCCCGAAAAAAGTTTGCCATGCCCTTGGTTCACATAATTTTTTCATAATTCTTCACACATAGTCCCAACTCCCCCACCTACACACCTATTTTGGTGCCATTTCATCTGCACTTCGCTGTAAACAAACCCTTTGTTTATTTGCTGGCGTCATGCCAGTAGCGTGCCGACAGCAGATCGAGAGACAGCGTTATGCTCTTCCGCAAAAACGATATCCCCCTTGCTTTTTCCCCCAAAAACGATATTCAGCTTGCTTTGCAAGCCACCTGTGCCGAGCCCTGCTGAGGTCTGCAAACTCAAAGTTATTGGTACGGTCAAGGTTTCTTTTTTTTTTTCGAAACAATTACGTTTCAGACTTTGAAAGAGGCCAAGTAACGGGTAAATAATGCAAAACCAAAAAAGGTGAGAACCTTTCAAACTCAAAAACTAAACTTAAATAAATTTTTTGAGCACAATAAAAACAGTGATTATAATATGACCTGCGTGATTATCCAACGATGTTTTGGTAAAAAATGCAATCTCATAACCGAAATCTGCCACTCAAAGTGATTGGTATTACATTTCAGCTTTTTCGGGCTTTCTCCGAAAAGTTTTCCTTCCTAGTGGCAGGACCATTCCAAGAATTTATGTTTTAATTCTACAAATCTTCAATGAAGAGAAACCGGTTTTGTGCACGATGGGAATACCAATTTTTCTGAAATAATGTCATCTTTACGGCAAACCCACTTGCAAACTCTGTTTCGAATGCAAAGGATTCATCAAAGTTACACTGTTGCAAAGTTAGGCTGAAAGACTTTGCGACACCCTGTATATATTTCTTCGAGGCCACTGCAACTTGCTATCCTCCGCTTATAAGTTTCGAAAATGAGGTGCGAACTCATGTTTTGTCAAAATATGTAGTTTGAACAAAAGAAAATGGCCACAAATTCCCTTTGACCTTTTATGACCTGAGGCATTCTCATTTTATCGTGTTCAAACAAGTAAGGGTACTTCGAACCGTCTCCCTGTCAAAACATGTCATTTCGGGCCCGAAGGACACAATTAGGCTCCCGCCAGAATGCGGAAGTTATGCCAGCGCTACGCCAGCATTTCGATCGATACACGTGTATTTCGTTGGGGACATCTACCTGCTGAGCTAGCCCCGCCCCAACGAAATACACGTGCATCGATCAAAATGCTGGCGTAGCGCTGGCATAACTTCGGCACTCTGGCGGGAGCCTTAGCAACAAATTTTGTCCTAGCAAAAGTTCTGTTGGCAATAAAAAACTTGATGCACCGCTTAGACTCACAGCGTGGTCGGAATAAACGTCACTGTATAGCAGACTGGCAAAGGTAGAATTTACCTCAAGGTACATTGATACGAATCGCTTAAGGTACAATGTACCTTGAGGTAAACTTTACCTCAAGGTAGAATTTACCTTAGGTTCAATGATGAATACGGCCTCTGGTTAACTTTATTCTTCCATGAACAATCTGAGGCAAAGTCCCAAATCGACTTACCATTTACCAACAAGTAAAGCTTAGTGTCAAATGTACAGCAAATGGGTCAAAATATTCCCAGAAAATTGCGTTTGAGTACGAAGGTAAGCCTTTTTCGGAGTCACTCCGCAAAATTCTGATTTTCAGTTTCATCTAATTCAATCCAAAGTTTCTGTTTGCTAAGGACACAAACAAATTCTTCAAGAGCAGAGACTGATCTCCTTTCACTACAAGCATTTTTGCTCAATCTTTACTTATACTCGGGATATTGTCATTACTACATGCAAGGTTATACCAATTTTCTGACACGGAATCGGGGTAAAAAATCACGTAAACACTCAATTTTTCATATATAGTTGGATGCAGATTGAACTTTGTAATCGATTGATACTGGTTTTATGTGTTATCCAATGTGTACGAGGCACCCTAAATTAACCTAGGTCCTTCAAAGGTGGACCTTGCCAAGGTGTGATTAAAGATGCGTGGTGTCGGTGTCACGGAGTGTCATTGAGCAAACGTAGAAAACGTATGTTCTAGGAACCTTCATGAGTTTATCGCACTGGAATTTCGAGAGTTTGAGTGACGTCCGCATCTGAGTTCAAAATTTATTAAGTATTTAGGATGATTTCCATGGCATAGAATTATTTACAACACATGTATAATACAAACAGATAAAACTCTATTACATCACATTCACTAAGGCACTATGACAAATTTACAAATGGTGGCAAACAACTTTACATACGGTAACAGAGCAAAACAACCGGTCATCAGGGAAGGAAAATATGACACCTTATTGGTTAGGATGGAAGGACGTCTTTCCAGGTTTGAAGATCTGGTGGCTCGGGTTAGTGTTTGTCATCTTTGATCAAACCATTCAAATTTGCGATTTATTTAGGTGACATCAACTTCAAGCACGTTACGAGAGAAAAGGTCAAATCCTTTCTTCCCCTTAAGGCAAGGAAGATAGGGGAATTTGCCCTAGCCCCCTAGAAAGAAGTATAAAGCGGAAGTCAGAGCACACTTAAATGTGGAAGAAAAAACAATTTTCGACGACAGGATCAATTTTATAGGAGAGGTAAGAATAGTCTGCTTTTGAGCTTCTATAATCAAAAGGCATGCAGGTGATCTACAAATACTTCAACGTGTCAAAAAGCTCTGAACAGAGTGTCTGGCAGACAGCAAAGAATGCTCTAAACGCTAAAGCACATGTTCCATCGACAGATGCCTGCAAATGTGGAGGACACGGTTGCCCTCACACCACCAGGAAGTGATGAAAGGCCCATTTCCTCATCAGACACCCCTACGACTTTTTCGACGATGACTTCTAGTTTATTTGCAACATTTGTAATTGCTGTATATTTCCAGTGCATAGTCAAATATTTTCCTTTTCTGATGACTGGTTGTTTTGCTCTCTTACCGTCTGTAAATTTGTTTGTCACCATTTGTAAATTTGTTATAGTGCCTTAGTGGTATAATAGATTTGTTACCCCGATTCCGAGTCAAAAAATTGGTATAACCTTGCATATAGTAATGACAATATCCCGAATATGAGCAATGATACAGCAAAAATGCCTGCAGTGAAAGGAGGTCAGTCTCTGCTCTTGAAGAATTTGTTTGTGTCCTCAGCAAGCAGAAACTTTGGATTGAATTAAATGAAACTGAAAATCAGGGCCGGTAGTAAACCTGTCGAAACGCGCAGCTCAAACTCAGAGTTAACTCAGAGTTAACTCTGCTCAGACAGTCGACGGCATACCTCCGGAGCAGAAACGGCCGAGCCGCGGGGTTTCCCCCCAGCTGGGCAATTCCCTCAGCTGGGAATTGCCACTCGTGCTCCGGAGCCCTCCCATTTGTGCTCCAGAGCGAGCCCTCCCATTTGTGCTCCGGAGACCTCCCATTTGTGCGCCGGAACCCTCCGATTTTCTGCTCCGCAAGTCTGCCGCGGCATACTGTAACTAGCCCTAATTGAGCTCCAAACCCCAATTATGTCTCTAAACCCCACCCAAATTAGCCGAATACGACCCCCCCCCCCTGGGTAGGAGTTCAGCGCGACCCAAGTTTGCAAACACCCGATTAATAGTTTACTCATGATCGAAGAAAAAATTAGCATAATCAAGGATTCGGGCGGAAGTTTTTAGTAGACACAGTTTGAATTAAAACTCGACAAGTAGTTATACAACGTGATAAACGAAATCACCAGATTTTACAGAGAATCACAGTTAGAGAATTTAACAAGAGCAACTTGAAGAATATTTCGACTACGAGAGCGTCCTATAGCATGACCGATACTCAGTAAACAAGAAATACTACACAGATACCACAATCTATAGCTTGTTGAAACCTCTCGTCGGGCTTGGGGTCAGTTTCATTCCAGTAGGGATTCAGATGATTGACACGACCAGAAAGTCCACCAGATGTTTGATATCTTCAAAGTGATATGTTGAAGCAGCAAAACCACACAGCCAAATCAATATAGATAGGAAGAAGTCAGCATACAACAAGTTGATGATTAAGGCATGATTCTTATCCAAAACGTTATTCAAAAAAAATTAAACATCAAGCAAGATATATTAGGTTGAACACTAAGTTTTGCAACTTGTTTCATAACTTCACTCTCATTCAACATGGCGCACTCAAACTTTGGCATCATGTAGAATGTGAGCTACAAGCGAGCACAAATTGTCTGAATTTTGAATACGAAATAGAAAAGTTTCAGGCATTTTTCGAAAACTAGTGAAATTTGAAAATTTTTGGGGTTTACAGCTAAAATGAGGCCTTTGGCAGCCTAGAACATGCGCAGTAATCCGGATTCGTCTACAAATTATTGCTAAAGGTTGATTCCTTTGGTCTATTAAGAAATAAACAAAATTTAGGGGCATGTCGAGATTTGGCGTCCTCATAAAATTGAACGAGTCGATGTACGCAAGAGCTGCTGGGGACGACCGTCAATGACTAAAGAGTACGAAGGTCAAATTCCGCCGAAACTTTAATAGTAAGGTTATTTGACCTGCCAAACACGAATATCACATTCATTTGTTGAATCAACGCCTTTTTCCTTGTTTAGGGTGAGACCCCATATCGTACACCTACAGTAATCCTACAAAAGAACCCTTATCACGCAATTTCACTATCGTTTTCGTGACCAGCATGTCGGATAACACCCCTATGCCAAGTTTCAGCTAAATCCGTCAAACTTTGAATTTTTCTCCTTCAAACATGCACCTACCCTAACCCTCACTGTGACGTCCGACGTTTGGTAGGACAGCAGCTGAGCTTGTAGCTTACCTAATAATCAATGCAGTGGCAAAATTTGAGTGCGCCATGTTGAGTGAGAGGAAAGTTATGAGACTAGTTGCGAAAATTAGTAACCTAATAAATAGATACTGACAAGCCTCTTACCTGGGTGTGCCATCATTCTGTGGTATGCCGTTATCGATAGCATCTATGGCTTCGACAAACGTTTCGTAAAGCTTTCGAAAAAATATATGCACCATTATACTTGGGTAATTCGATAATTTTTCATCGAATGAATGAATATCGAATAAATTCGAAAATAAAAAAATCTCGAATAAACGAATATCGAATAAATTCGGAAAATCAAAAATATCGAATGAATGAATTTCGAATAAATTCGGAAAATCAAAAATATCGAATGAATGAATTTCGAATAAATTCGGAAAATCAAAAATATTGAATGAATGTATATCGAATATATTCGAACGTTGGAAGTCGAATTTCGAATAAATATTCGAATGATTTATCGAATAACTAAAGCAATCACATCTCAAACTTGCCGACATATCTGGCTAAAGCCGATCCAATCATAATCAGCCCCCTAGCATCCCCTATACCAACTCCTAGCTCAAAATTTTCCAAAAATTGCTGAAATCAATAAAATAGATTTCAATTTTAATCAGCACCCTCACTTACCCCTTTGTACCAACTCCCAACCTCGTAGCTCAAGATTTTCAAAAAATCGATAAAATCGATAAAGTAAATTTTTATCCATAATCAGCACCCTCACTTACCCCTTGTACCAACTCCCAAACCCGCAGCTCAAGATTTTCCAAAAATCGATAAAGTCGGTCGGCAACTAGTCTATACATCAGCAAAAAGTCATATTTTACCCATTATTGGACGATCTAAAAAAGCAGTTGATATAAATTTTTATGCTGTGCCCAAAAGATTCTTCTTCATATGATCTGAAAGAGGCTGATGTACACCAGGGGCGGTATGCGTCAATCTCCCGTTTTGAAAGCGGGCGATCATTTTCAATAGAAAGTGATCGGCCGGCCGGGTTGGGCACCCAACCCGTGTTGTATGATTTCTATTGAAAATGATCGCCCGCTTTTAAAACGGGAGATTGATGCATACCTCCCCAGAATTAACTTTATTTCTTATCAGCATCAACAATGTAAAAGCAAATGTTGCAACAGCAAATGCAACAGCAAAAGTAATGTTTCCTCCGCGAAGCGAGCACGAATGCCCCTATAACCCCAGGCATACTGCAGGCATTTCAGTGGCGACGTGGTATGGCAATACTCAAATTGTCCAAAACCTACTCTGAAAATACAGAATGCAGGGCATTTATCTTTTTAGTATGTTGTACGCGTTAAACATTTGTGGTAAGCTGCCATTACATCTGAAGACATCTCGTAACTGCTGGCAAATCGCGTACGGCGATCTAAACCGTCTAATCCTGCACTACAACTGCGATGTCCTTTAATCAATATAAACCAATTCGGAAAAACTCCAAGGTAACGAATAGGCAGTTTTGCAATAATTTATGCGAGCAAGAGTGTTCACTAGCGTGGGCTTTGCGTACCGCAAGCATGAGCAATGCAAAGAAAGAAGAACAGCCATTTCAATGAACTCAGAACATGAGCTTGATTTTGATATCCTCTTTGCTGATTTGGTGCCAATAGCAGTGCGAACAACCTCACTGATCGAAAAAACAAATCCACATATGATTTTTTACTGTCGCAAGCAGTCGGAAGAATGCGACTCTCGATAGAGTTCAAAGGTATACCGGTTGCAAAAGATGCATTACCGAGTTTTGCGAAAAAAAAAACGCGGACGAAGTGAGCTTGACATTCAGCAGTTGGCTGTAACAAAGTCGAATAATCTGAATACGGAGTACATTCGAATACGAAGTCGAATAAACATTCGAATAAAACATTCGAATAAAATCTATTCGAAACCCCGTTTTTTGATTATTCGAGTTTTCGAATAATATTCGAAACCTCGTGCTTTTATTATTCGAGTTTTCGAATAATATTCGAAACCTCATTTTTTGATTATTCGAGTTTCGAATTTTATTCGAAACCCCGTTTTCTCATTTATTCGAGTTTCGAATATTATTCGAAAATGGAAGAACTCCGAATACCGAATTTCGAATACGAATATATTCGAATGTTTTATTCGAATGATCGAATTTCTATTCGATTCGGACCCAAGTATATGCACCATCTTATCGTCGTGGGAGGAACCAAGTATCTGACGATAATAAACTAAATAAGAAAGGTTAACCCTGACTGACAATGCTTACCTCTGCGATCAGTTGCTTTCCATAATGGGCGTAGATCAATCCAGCTGAACTGAGTCTAGTGTTAAAATCCAGTATGCCCAATGTCTGCATCGTCTCATTGAACTCTCTGAAAACAGCACGATTAAGGAATTACTAACATTAATTGTATGATCTTCATTACTGTAGGAGGTCAAACTTAACAGCATGCAAAGCAAAACCTACACTTGGTGATGGTCGTATCGTTTCTTCGAATGATCGTATGCACCTCCCACGTCAATGATAACATCGCACTTGCAAGTACAGCAGGATTCCGTGTCCTGAAATGTCGTAATAATGAAATAATGACATTACGGGAGATATCCTCAAGATGAATTGTGTGCAATAAAACGTCCAAGTGCGCAAAGATTCTTTGAGTTGGTATAAAGATGTGACGAGAACCTCTATCAAAACAGCAGGCTCTGCGTCCGTATCTATCAACATATATTAAGGATTAAAATATACCTCCAGTGCGCATACTCGTAATCACGCACAAGATAGACTCAATCAATTACGCATATTTCGAGCTGCATAAGACACATCTAAGGTATAAATCGATTCAAAAAGCCATTAACCCGCTTACACCACCAAAGGTATAGGCGATTCATCACGCACAGACTGGACGTTATTGCGTCCGACCAGGATAATTCGTGCATGGGAGAGACAGCAGACGGCAAGAGGTACGAAAGAGCGCTCAATCAGCGAGACGCCGACAGCGTCCGCAGTGATGCCTATCTTTACGTGCGACGAATTCCTCTACAATATTTACCTTGACATGATGCAAATGCTTTGGATTAAGGTAAGAATCAGGGCTCGGCACGAGGTGGCTAGTTGAAAATGCAAAAAACGAAGTCCCACTTGAATTTTGCAAATTTTTACGAAGCCCCCTTTGACTTCAGAATGAAATTACGACATCAGCCACGAGATAATAGAAGAGAAAATACATGAAAAGGATCGGAACAAAGCAAAACAGAAAAAAACGTCAAAAGGGCATCAAACAAACTCTATGACATTAGTATTCTTAGGATTGGCGGCATGACGTGTCCAGCGAGCAGCACTACGCACCTGGAGCAGCTTTGCCGTCGCCATTCAAAATTTTCAAAATACTGTAACTAGGCGGGGAGTTTGAAGCTGTTTAGGAACCAACTTGTAGGGTTTGGAATGTAGATGAGATTTATGTGAAGAAAGTAAAAAAATTATGTGAGAGAGGAAAAATTTATGACTTTTTCTTTCCCAAACCACCTCAGGTGGCTACCCAGGTGGCTTGAAAGCCACCTAACTCCGAAAAAAGTTGAGCACGCCTTCATTTCACATACTTTTTTTTATAATTTTTCATACTTAGTCCCAACTCCCCATTGCCCATCTACACACCTATTTTGGTGCCATTTCATCTTCACTTCGCTGTAAACAAACACTTTGTTTATTTGCCGGCGGCATGGCGACAGCGTGCCGGCGGCAGATCGAAAGACAACGTTATGCTCTTCCGCAAAAACGACATCCCCTTTGCTTTTTCCCCCCCAAAAACGATATCCAGCTTGCTTGGTAAGCCACCTGTGCCGTGCCCTGGTAAGAATACAGGGTAAATTTGACCTCGTTCCATGCTAGCTAGCAAACACTGGTTTGAAAGTTGCGCAACTAACTTCAGTAATGTGTAGTCCCTGAACTGGTTGAGACGTTTTAGTATGAAACAAGCAAGCGCTTCGTCACAGTGGAATTTCCCGTTATGAGTGGCAATGCCTCCAACCATATCCGTCTTCACAACAGGTCTCAGTTTAGTACACAAGAAATGAGAAGTCGAGAAACAGCGATTAATAAAGTATCTTGACGTAGTGATGGTGCCTGAGTCCGTTTGAATTATCGGATTATATACTTTTTGTTTCGAAAATCCAGAATTAATCACAAAAAAAAACTTCATCAATAGTCAACGATATCTCAGCAAGTCGAAAAGAGCCAAGCACTAAAAGTGACTGAGTGCATCCGCACGAAAACCTAAAACCTGAAGCCTGAAAAGAAGGAACTGAACAACATAAACGCCAACGCGACGAAGAGCAACGCGACAAAGAAAAAGAACGGTAAAGAAACGCGGAAAAACAACAAAAAGTCGAAAACGAGAGCACTTCCCCTCGTTTTCGACTTTTTGTTGTTTTTCCGCGTTCCTATTTTCGAAAATGCTAAGCTGCGTATCACAGCAAATTGGCTGCGTACCTATTGTGCTCCGGAGCCCTCCCATTTGTGCTCCTGAGCCCTCTCATTTGTGCTCCGCGGCCCTCCCATTTATGCTCCGGAGACTTCCATATTGTGCTCCGGAGCCCTCCCATTTGTGCTCCGGAGCCCTCCCATTTGTGCTCCGGGGCCCTCCCATTTATGCTCCGGAGACCTCCCATTTTGTGCTCCGGAGACCTCCCATTTCTGCTCCGGAGGTGTCCCAAATCTGGCGCACTCGCGGTGGGCAAATCTCTCCGCCGCGGCTATGCCAAATCTGGCGTACCTCCGGAGCAGAGATGGCGTACCTCCGGAGCAGATCCGGAGAAGGGTCCCAGTCGCCTGCTTGTTACGTCACCGTGACCTACAAGAAGGGACCGCCCCCTCGCCCCGCTCTCGTTGGTCAATTGGGTCCGCCGCGGCTCTGCCAGATTTCGACTGTCCGGCGCGACAACGGCACCGATTGTCTGAGGAGTTAACACGCACTTTCAGGGGCCATTAACACTTGCATAAGCAAACCAAATTTGGGAAAGGGTCATATGGCAGGATACCCCGCAAGACGTACTTTATGCCAAGTATGGAAAAGTAGCGTAATTCGTTCCACGCGAAACGCTACGCGACGAAACGCGCAGCTCAGCTGCGCGTTAACTCTGAGTTTGCTGCGCGTTTCAGCCGCCCGCGAAACTCGAAGTTAAATCTGAGTTTGGTTAGAGAAAGAGAAATAGTGCGTAAACGCAGAGGTCCAGAAAAACGTCCTCCGGGGTAGATTTTGCTCCGAGTTTCATTGAGCATGATGGGGGGGGGGGGAGTATCATGGTGCACCGTTGAACACAAAAATTTGAAATTTCGTAAAATTTTGGCCCCGGGGTTATCCGTCGCGCTGATCACGAATCCGATGCTCATTTTTCGTCATTCGCCCACATAAGGGGTTACGCTAGATATACGGTAGTTGGGCGAAAGTCACGAAATTTGCTGAAACTTGGTACATTGGGGTTTTTTGGCACGCTAATTACGATTATGATATCTATTTTTCGCTACAGGGACACAGATTGGGATTACGGTAGCTATACGGTGGTTGGGCGAAAATTACTAAATCGAGTGAAAATTGGTATTGTGGGGTTTCTTGGCACGCTGATCACGAATCCAATGCTCATTTTTCAAGATCCGCCCACACAACGAGGTTACGGTAGGAATACGGTAGTTGGGCGAGATTCAAGCAGTTGACTGAAACTTGGTCTGGCGGGGTTATTCGCTGCGCTAATTCAGATGTGGTAATCATTTTTCACTGCGGAGAGATAGAGCAGGGTTACTGTAGGAATTTGGTGAAAGCCAAAGTCCCATAATATATCTAAAATTGGTTGGCTCAGTGGCGTTACGCGATATGTTGATTACGATCACATTGCGCGTTTTTCACTACAGCGGTTTATAGCGGAGAAGAAATACCGTAGACTACCCAGAATCACAGGACTTCATGGAAGTTGGTTTCGTTAATTCCGCACGTTAATGGAATATCATAGTTGCTTGAAAATACCTTTCAGAAAGGGGTTTCGATGGATTTACGTAGATGGATAAAAAATCTCACTTAGAACTTTTTTTCAGGGGAAGTTTGGCTAAATACTTAGTTACCAGCGACGATCGCAGGATGTCCGTCCGGGGGGGGGGGGGAACAAAAAATTTTTCAAGTGAAGGTGCATGGCATTAGTCACGCACTTCGACAATTTTTCGGGGCGCTTCTTAACATTTTTTGCTGGCCCATACTCCTAAATTTTAGGAAAAGGGGGCGTGTCAGCAGCTACGCCCCCAAAATTTTTTTACAATGTTAATTTGAATCTTTAGAAATTTTAAAAGATAATTTTATTATTTACAAGAGCGAACAAGTCATTTGAACATTTTTATAACACAGTAAGTAAATTTCAAAAATTTCGCGACCTATACCGGGAAGAGGGGAGCCTACTCTTCCTCCGCCACTGTCAGATATTTACTATTTCTTTTCTACTGCAAGACTATGCCATGGGGCAACAGTAGATGTGGTGGACGGAAGAGAGACAAAAATCTCAGGTCGAGTTAAACTTTTTTAGCAAAAAAAAAACAATGATACTACCAGGGAAAGTTTTTCAAATTATTTTTTTATGTGTCAACAGAAACTTCGAAAAAAATTTTCGAAATTTGCTACATTATTTAGAGGTCTTTTGGAATTCTAACAGTCGATTTACGAATGATATGTAGACTTTGTTTACTACTTGAAGTATATTTTCCTAAAATGGTGGTCTATTTCAAGAAAATTATTGATCTAGGTCATTCGAAAAATTTTGGAAACTAGCAGACTTTCGATATATGGTGAGAGGGGAGGGGAACGGATTGTTAGGTTGCTACGCTAGGCACCTCAGGCAAGCCTAACGCCTCTCCATGTATCTTGACATGTGAGATCTTGATTACGGGGATTCACTAGGCAGTTGCAGCCACTTTGTCCAATAGTGGCTCTTTAGCCTAGCGGTCTAGTAGTGGGCACTTCGCGCCGAGTAACAGAAGTTCGAGTCCCGACTTAGTTGCAGCGTTTTGCGATGAAGCATGTGGCGGCTCTCCAACAACTAGAGCGGATCCTCAAGTAGCAGAGCGACACTCCGAGCTTTAGCAACGAAACTCGCAGTTAACTCTGAGTTTCAAAACGAAATTCAGAGTTAACTCTGAGTTAACGCGCAGCTTTAAACTCGGAGTTTCGACCAGATTACTACGGGCCCAGAATTTTTGCGGAATGACTGCATGGCATGACGTACTTGCGATGAATTGCTTTTTATGTATCCGCATGATATTTGCACAAGAAAGTTTTGCCTTTAGGGTTCAAAATGCTGCAGTTACTGATTTCGAAACGGTTTTGTCTACTTAATCGCCATCTTATGTAGGCTCTAAGGGTTTTAATCTGAGAAATTAATTGCTTTTACGTTTTATTTTAGATCCGTAGCATTCATTCTCCAATAATAAAATCTGCCTGTCTGAAAATGTTTTTCCTTGTTCAGTCGCCTAGCAATATCATGACAATTGGTTCCTAATTTTTGACACATTATTGATTTCTCAGCCAAGGTGGGAAATTTCTACCTGCTTTTTAATGATGAAACATCGATTCTGGGAGTGCGCAAGAGTTTATTTATTTTGACCTCATACTTTGGCATCTCTCCACTTTATTTGCATTGATATTTGGAGAATGTTCGTAAAGGTTTTTATACTAAACATAAGCTTGTGATGGCAGATTAAGCTAAAATATACCAGTTTTCTGCTTTCGGAAAACTTCCTAGTATTACATGCTGCTTAAGCTCATATGTATGTTGATAGAAAAGGAAGAGTAAAGGTGTCAGAATTTGGTGAGCCAGCAACAGTTATTTGATTTTTGCATTCAAAGACCAACTCAAAGGCCTCGCCCAATTTTATCTTAGGCAACAAAATTTAGTATCTGAAATACAAGATTAGCGGTTAAGAAATATCAATATCAAGGATTAGCTTACAGATTTGAAGACCGCGAACAAAGTGGTTCTAATTAGCAACTTCGACTTCGTGATAACAGTACTACTAAGTTCATAATGCTGCGAAAGAGTATAAATGCTGTGTATGACTACCTTGAGCTCCACAGAATCAAAATTTCGGGCGTTTACTAAAACCCATGAAGTTTGTAAGGGTATAGACAGAAGGTTAAAGTTTGTGCTAAGTTCGTTCAACCCCTAAAACTGTCATCGATTTCAACCAAATTTCGCAAAATTGCTACAGTGACCTAAACTACATTATTGGATTGACCATGCAAAAAAACCAGCTTATAGAAGTCTACAGATCTCTAAAGGTATCCGTCTAACCTTGCTCCCAGCCAAGGTTAGACCTTGAGGTAAAATTTACCTCAAGGTACTTTCCATTCAATACTAAACATACCTTGAGAATTTACCTCAAGGTACTTTTGTGAATACGGGTATTTGCTGATAATGAGTAATAAAACTACCTGGAGGTAGAATTTACCAATGATATATTCATCATTGATACCAATGGTATCAATGATGAATACGGCCACAGAAGTGACATCTCATACATATCACGGATGCGAGTTTGCCAAAAAAATTGACCAAACAGATGTGCATTCAAGAATATTTGATGTATCCCAAATGCAGACCAATGAAATTGGAATCCTGTGTTGTTGAAGTCCAGTGTTGTATTTTGGCCGTCGAAGAACATATTGCTGCTCGAAAAGCGTTAGAGGCTTCATTTATACTTGCTCGTAATCCCAAAATGAACAGGAAGAACGAACATTTGTCTATCACTAGTGATCTGAAGCCGTTTTTACCATTTTGTGAGCTGTGAGTAGCCTACACTATTTGAGCGTGTCGTACTTATCCGGACCGCTCATTTTGTCATCATTTGCTGTGGGCGACTGTGAGAGAGAGAGAGCTAACACCCTTACGCTCTTCACCAGGAACACTTGGTAAGCTGTTCAACTTGAGAATTTATCTGCGTCACAATAGTTGAGTCAAGTATACGGCTTGAGAAAAGTGTCTGGTAGTCTAGATCGTT